AAATTTTTTTTTAAATTAATAAATTTGATAGTCATTTAAAATATTAATGTGGTGTTACCACAATTTTATATTTACTTTGAAATTTTAATAGAAGTTTATGAATTTATGTGACAGAAATTATATTTGTCGTAATTCACAATATGTTGATGTTAAGCTTTATTGAAATTTATGACATTTTAAATATAAATCTTTTGTCTGAAAATATATATTTTTACTTTTTTTAAATCCTATGAACGATATGAGTAATGAAATAAAAGACACGTTATTAAAAATTTAAGATGAATAAAATTAATTTTTTTGTTACTAATTCCACAATCACCTGTTACGACAAGTTTTGACAGTAAGTCTTGTAGATTACTTAAATCAACATTATTAACACATCTTCCATTTTTGCTGCCACCTGCACCCGAGATCTTCTCCTCCGACGTCTCATCAACAATTAATCTATAACATAATTTATTAATAATTAAAAATTATGGTTTAATAAAATATTTTTTAAAATTATAATAAATAAATTAAAACAACATTTTTCAAATAATAAAGAAATGAATTGAACAACGTTTAATTCATGCTTTAACAATATCAATCTTTTTATTTATTAAAAAACTTATAATAAACTTGAAATAATTACTTTCTTAATTTTAATAATTATTTAATAATAAGTATTAAAAAATTACTTTTTTAAAATAAAGAAATTTTTTAACTTTTCAATAATACTTTTAAATAGGTAAGATTTGTAATAGAAATTACATAATAAACGATTGTAATGAAATTAAAATAGAACAAGAAAAAAAATAATCTTAATCAATATAAAGATATATTAGATAATGAATCATTAAGTGAAGTAGATGAAAATGGAAGTTCATCAACAAATAGTGATAATGAAATTAAATTAATTAAGTTAATTAAAGAAACAAAAAATGCTGTTTTTGATAAAAAAGAGAAAAATTTTAAACTTGGTAAAAAATTAGAAGAAAGAGAAATATAACTGGATGAACTTTACAAAAAAAA